TTGAATTTTTAAAAAAATTCTTGTCCCCATAAACTTCAAAGCAATTTTGTTAATTGATTACTGCTTAGTAAAATACATTTTTGAAACTTTCTCTCGGTAAATCCTTTTGTACTATAAAATGCTTTAAATAAATATCAAAGTATTATGTACATGATGAACATTTAAGGATAGAGAATTTGATCCTATTAGGGATGGAAAAACCTTAAATGGGATAAAAGAAATCAAGGAAAGCGCATATTCTTGTTCTAAGAGTCAAAGAACATCATTATAGCCTTGTTATGTTTTCCTTTAATAAAAACTGAAAAAGGGATTTGTTGTATCGCGGGGGGGGGGGGGGGGGGAGCTTTGAAAATAAATTTCCATTTTCCGTTAATTTCTATAATGAAATATTTTCTCAAATTAAAGATTTATATCTCTGTTTTCCCAAACAAGTTATGTTTTACACACACGGATCTAGGGGGGGGGGGGGCGGGGTCAGTGGGAAGGGGGGTCCGGACCACCCCCATGGAATTTGTAAAGTTATTTAATGTACATGTATATACTAAACCAACTAAAAGTGACCTTGGACCCCCCCCCCCCCCAAAAAAAAAAAAAAAAAAAAAAAACGCGGATCCGTGTTAAGTTGATCTGAAAAGTCATAGATATGAAGCATAAGATGTCAACCCCCCCCCCTCCGCCGAAATAGGTTTTTCACGTTTAGGAAAGGAGTTTACGTTTTTGTTTTGTTTTGTTCTCCTTGTGAAGAAAGGACAAGGTATGGTAACAGCCGACTTTGGCCCCTTATTTGATGTAAAAATCAAAACACAGTTTAAATTGTGATAATTTGCAGTTGAGAACTTAAAATGTTGTTTGTTTTAAAATCAGTAATAATTTTGATTCAAAGAGTGCAGGGAGGCCACAAGATGGTGCCAAAGTTGGACATTTTTCCGAATTTTCTCAATTCTGATGGAATTTTGTCAAAGTTGAGATACTTTTCACTTTGGGAAACATAGAGCACAAACTTGCCTATCTGAGATTTTTATACACAAGAAGCATCTGATACTAGTGCATGAAATATATAAATCTGGTAGATAGGCAAGCTTGTGCTCTGTGTTTTCTGAAATAAAATGTGCTATAAAATTGATGAAAATTTGCATTAAAATGAGAAAATTCGGAAATTGACATATTTTGTGACCTTCCTATGACCTTTGTGTACCCAATAACTTAGAATCAATACTCATTTTGTAAGAGGGATGACAACAGGTTAATAATGATGACCTGTTGCATCGCTCCTGGAAACACCAGAAATCAGGGGCCAAAAAGGGGTCTTAACCTATCTTGTCCTTTCTGGGTTGGATATTTTTTACTGGGGTGGACCCCTCCTGAAAAAAATTCCTGGATCCGCGCCTGGTTTTATGAAAATTCACATAAATATCAATATAAATATGAAAATTTATTCAAATATATGTGACAGTTGGCAGTAAGCAGTGAGCAGTTGGCAGTAAGCAGTGAGCAGTTGGCTGTCGTATATGGAATTCCATAATATGTACTATTTTGAAAATAAGTTATAGATTGAAGAAATTAGTTATTCGTGAAATTATATTTCGGTCTACATGTAAGTCATATTTGTTTTCAAACGGATCCCTGTTGTACATTTCTATGAGGCAGCATAATGTGTAAACCAAAGGAAGACAAACTGAGTATCAAAGTCATGTAAACACATGTTAGAAAATTACAGACATTGAAGTTTTTCATCGTCAGAATAAAATGTGTGTGTGTGTGGGAGGGGGGTGGGGGTGGGGGTCTTGTTTGCTCCTGAAGTTAAATAAGGAGGGAATGATATTTTATTGTCTTTTATTATCTTTTTTTTTTAATTCAAATGAGCACTCCCTCCACCCGCAAAAAAAAAAAAAAAAAAAAAAAAAAAAAAAAAAAAAAAAAAAAAAAAAGCAGAATAAACTCCAAAATACATGTAATGACTACCATGACTAAAGAGGTCAAGAAACGTCACCCACAAAATTAAAAGATTAACAGATAAGACAAAGTATGTTACATATATTTTATTGTAGCAAGAGATTAAAGAGAAAGGAAACGAGGGATTTTTGGTAAGCATAAAAAATACCCATCAGGCGAATACACTGTATGTAAATTATGTTGAGAAAATTCAATATAAAGAAAAATATTGCTTTACAGAGCTAATTAAGTTCTTCGCTGTGTTAAAAGAGAGATAACTCTATCGCTGTCCATGTGTGTAAAACGCGAGAAGCTGCTACCTTGTTCTAAGAGAATTAAGTTCTAAGAGAATTAAGTTAAATGCATTTATGATTGAAACCGGTCCCTTCAGAAAAAAGTCGTTTCATCTTCATTTTGTATACCAGTGGTCGTTGAAAAAAATGCATATTTTTTAAGCAAGAAATTGGGAAAAGGGGGACATTTCTTACTATATATTTACGAAAATCTACAAGAAACCGCAGGTAAGCATATCTAAACTAAGATGAATATGTCAGATTTTGCTGAGAAGATATAATATAAAGATTGAACTTTTTTTTTTTTTTACAAAGCATAGTTTGAAGTAAAAGTAGCATTTACTGGACAACAAAAACCTGTCAAAAGTGTTTAAATAAAAATCAACATTTTTAGCATAAAAACGTTTTTAAATTTCTTTGAATTATTTAATTTAATTTAAGACAACCCACTACCTCTACCCCTCCTTTATACCCAATGGTCCCTAGAGATCATTCATATATTAATGAATCAGCCGATTTTTTGCTAGTTCTTACTAAACAAATACCCTTTCATTTGTGCGAGTTAAATTCAATCAGGCAAGAACAATTTTTGGCAAATTTTAGTACAAACCTATGAAGATGTCAAATATGCTAAAAAAGCTCTCGCTCCGTGATCGGAAGGTCGTGAGTTCGAATCTCGGCCGCGACTGACATAAGTCGATAAACAAGAGGCCCATGAGCCACAATGCTCACCTGAGTAACTTTGGCCTTGCTGTGTTTCACCTGATTTCCCCCTTGTAGTACTTATTGTGGCCTTGCCCTACCCCCAGGGCACAGGCACTTGTTTCGGTAATAAATTTTTAACCCATAGTATAATAATAACACAAGGTATCTAACTCCGAATTACACGGAGTACATGTACCCCCCCCCCCTCCCCCAGAATCGCACTCATTTACACTTTCAGAGGAAATACACTGACAAACTGTTTATACCTATGTTTTCTACGATAATTTATCTACACAACCATATATGGCATGCTTGTCTTTATTTTCTTTAGTCTCCGTAAACAGCGTCAAAACTCTACTCGCCGTGTGGAAAAGTCGAATTCAACCATGAAATGGTATGTGCTAATCCCGCACAGAGAACATAATTAAAAAATGAGTGGGTTTAAAAATTCAATTCCAGTGTTTAAATATTGCATGAGTAAATAGAACTTGTTTACGTCTGATTTTCCCTGAAAACATTACGATGTTTATCCGATGTAATTTTAGAAACAGATTTTTAGCCAATCAAAATATTTCAATATAAAACTTGAATTCCCTATTTTGTCCCCGCCCTACCCCCAGGGGTCATGATTTGAACAATTTAGAATCTACACTACCCAAAAATGCTTCCACTTAAGTTTCAGCTTTTCTGGCCCAGTGGTTCTTGAGAAGATTTTAAAAGATTTTTTTCTATATTTCAATGTATAACTTGGATTCCTTATTGTGGCCCCGCTCTATCCCCCGGGGTCATGATTTGAACAATTTAGAATCTATACTAACCCAGGATGCTTGTACATAAGTGTCAGCTTTTCTGGCCCAGTGGTTCTTGAGAAGATTTTTAAAGATTTTTCCTACATATTTCAATATAAAACTTGGATCCTATTGTGGTCCCGCCCTAGCCCTGATGTCATGATTTGAAACATTTAGAATCTACACTACCCAAGGATGCTTCCACTTAAGTTTCATCTTTTCTGGCCCAGTTGTTCTTGAGAAGATTTTTTTAAAAAAAATTCTGCATATTTCAATGTAAAACTTGGATTCCCTATTGTGGCCCCGCCCTTCCTCCGGGGGTCATGATTTGAATAATTTAGAATCTACACTACCCCAGGATGCTTCCACTTAAGTTTCATCTTTTCTGGCTCAGTGGTTCTTGAGAAGATTTTTTAATGAACCCACCCTATATTTGTCTTTTCTTGATTTTCTCCCCTTGGAAGGAAGCTTGGCCCTTCAGTTTAACAATTTAAACTCTCCTTTACCCAAGGATGCTTTGTACCAAGTTTGGTTAAAATTGGCCCAGTGGTTCTTGAGAAGAAGTTGAAAATGTTAAAAGTTTACACACGGACGGACAACGGGTGATCAGAAAAGCTCACTTGAGAGCTTTCAGTTCATGTGAGCTAAAAATAGGTACATGTAGCAACTGTTCCTTCGCCAAGCGCTTGGCATTTTGAGGTGAAAGTTGCGGGATATTCGGATGAGACCTTAAAAATCAAGGCCCCGTGTCACGGCAGGCGTTGGCACATTAAAGAACCCTCACTGCTCAATGGTCCTAAGTGCCGAGTAAAGGTCTAAATTTGAAGCCCTTCACCGGTATATGCTACGTTAAACAACATACAATCAATGAATCAACCAATCAATATAAATTATGCTAAAAAATATTGATGACAGGAAATTGAAAGGTAGTCCATCTGAGCCACTGGCTATAGGTGAGCTTATATCAGAGAGAGAGAGAGAGAGAGAGAGAGAGAGAGAGAGAGAGAGAGAGAGAGAGAGAAGGAGAGGCATTTTCTTAGGTTGTCTTATATGCACAACTGCCCGCAGATGAGGTAAACTTCCGTTCCGCGCCAAGTTTTTTGGGGCTTATATCTGGAGAACTGAAATCATAAAATCCGGATAAGTTATTTCAATGATTCTGTCTTTTTTGAAACGATGTTTTAAATCTTTATTTTCCTTGTATACATACATGTATTAAACCTCGGGCCTCTAAATCTGGCCACACACTAACCCCGGGTCCACAATTAGATCACATCTTGTTCTAAATTAGAAGTTTTCGGAGACCACAAAACATCCAGGCTGACACCAACAGTCTGATCAGTTGAGCTAAAAATATAGATTTAAGTTTCTCTAAAGTTTCATGTACGTATTGTCATATTGAAATTAACGCCTTGAGGAGAGAATGGATTTAGCTACATTTTTTATAGAAAAATCTGAAGAACAGCTATATAAAATCATTTCCATTTTCTGCATCAAAATTTCTTTAATCGCATTATTTCGTCATAGGACGGGGGCGGACTACTTGTGACTTCATCATATGATGGTATGGCACGCCGATTGCTTCAAAATTATTTTCTGCACAACGACCACGATTTTATACACGAGCTTGATGAAAAATATACACGAGTAAAATAAAAATGCACGTATCGGTAAAAATTGCACATAGTTTGAAAGATTTTAACACAAACATAATGAAAAATACACGAATCCGAAATTTTTTACACGATTAAGGGGTATAAAATGCACAAACGTAAAATCAAAAACTGCACGAGCAGAGGAAACTAAAAATTACACAAACAATTTTACTGCGCATACAGCTGCGCATATCATTATTATGCACATAGAATATTCATTGTGTTCTTGGTTTTCTGTACTCTTTATCTCTTCATGAATGCTGGGTGTAATCGAGAGAAAATGGCGTTGATGATGATATGCATGTTTGTTTGCTTCTTTATTTCTTTGCTAAAACTCGATCCAATTTCCAGCTAATGCCAATCGAACGAATGAAATGTTTTCTTGTGAACTGTGTGAAAAAATTTAAAAGTTGTTCGGAGATATTATATTTTTCTTATATTGACCGAGATCCTAGCCAAAATATGGAGGTATTATATGATGCCGGACATGAATTGTGACAAGAAAAGAATTGCATGTTTGTGTTATAATGCGGGGAAAAAAGTACCATTGCATATGATGCACTCGACTCCGAACTAAAAGTAATACGCTCTATAGTCTTTTAAAATTCTCTAACTTATGGATACAACTTTAACGGAAAGTACTTGTATAAAATAAAATTAACACATGCGTAATAAAACAAATAATAACGTGGATTCTTCATGAAAATGATGGTAGAATTATTGCAGATTATAATCATTAAATTGTATTTATTTTGGTACTTCTCATTTGTATTAATCATGAATTCATTTGGGCAGATTTTTTTTCATTTAGGAATAGGAAATTATTCAGTTGGCTGAATATATTTTTTATTTTCAATAAGATTAAAAAGTGGGAATTACCTGACCTTAGATATACACAGTATGTTTTTAAAGTCAAACATAAAAAATATTTTATTTCTAATTATACATGTATCTTTACCTTTAAAATAGGAGAATATCAATTTTGGTTGGACATCGGTAGCCTACACTGTTATGAATTCCTTCCATGATATCGCATATTTTCAGTCATTAACTACTCAATAAAAAGTAAGACATTCCTAAGGGTAAGCGTTACCCTCATTCGTAATGGCGATTACTTGATAAATGTTTTCACTTTTAATAAATAGGACCAGATAAAGGGAAAATATATATACTCTATGTGCTTTAGTACATGCGGTTTTGTGTTTTGTTACTTAAAATTTGTCCAAATGAAATAACAAAACTCTACCCAAATGATCCTGGCACCGGTAAAACATATCATCAGTGGCGGATCTGGTTCGTGGATTGATAGAGTAGCAACATCTGAATCTATGTATTTATTAAAGATTCAAATCGTTGGACCATAATGACACATCAGAAATTTTAAAACATAGTGAATTGCTAAATACATCTACGTACAATGTTACAAATAAGAAAATGGGAATGGATATTATAATACATAGAAAGAACAAAGAATGTGTTGTATCACTCTTAAATAATGCAAATAAATCATGTTCTTTATGGAGCTCGAGGTTTGACAAATATTTTCCAAGACAACAATTTCTCTTAGTCTTTACATTTCGAATTCGTATGCATAAAATTTTAATTATTTTCCGAACACTAAGTTTTTGTAATAGGCTAACACTTTTTTTACCCAAATCTATAGTCATTATAAAAAGAGCATGACTGTATAATTATAAAATGAAAATAATCTTCAATAACATTCAAGGAACATATTTGATACAAGATTCACTTTTTAAAAGACTATTCATGTTGATATCTAACGTTTTTGAAAAATCAGATTATGAGTTAAAAAGCCTAATCTATGCAATTTGTATTTTGTACGTATACATGTACAAATAATTAAAAAGTTTGCATTATAGCAATATTGTACATGTGTATCAATGGCATCAACCAGGTCTTGTTTTACTTCGAGCATGACTACGAATAAATATAAGAAAACATATGATGAATATAAACCTCAAGAAATCTTTGTTTCATTACCGTGTGTTTATTATTGTCAAAATCTGCATTGAAAATAAATGTGCATGTGTAGCCAACTCCCAGCTAATTAAGTTCATCTTGTATGTCTTCTTGAGTTTGGTCTTACAATATCGTTACAGTTCAGTTGAATTGCAATCCTGATTTCGATAGACTATTTATGTACCCTTAAATTCTTAGAAAATATTTCAGGCACGTAGCATCAGGAGGGGTCTGCCCCCTCCCACTTTCCAAACATAACCTACTTCTATTGTAAATTTCCACTGAAAAGCTGGTTGCCCCCTCCCTTTGTTGTAGGATAGTTTAAATCAAAGTAATTTGGTATTATAATGTGTTTCGAAAATACTTGTTTTGTTTTTTCAGGTAGGTTGTCAAAAAAAAAAAATCTACCCCCCCCCCCCGCTTTCAAAAACGATACTCTTGCCTGTATTTTATAATTTTAAATTTTCTTAACTCCTTTATATGCATTTTAACTATTCAAAATAGACTACCGCCGATACATTAAAAACAACATTAATTAAACTTTAATTTACATAAGTAAAACGAATGTATATTTTTTCTACATTTTCATGGAGTTTTTATGAAATCACCACACGTTGCTCAAAAGTTAAGACTACATGTACTACATGTACTTTGTTACATACATATACCAAAAAGTGAGATATGCGTTTCAATATTAAAATTTAAAGTTGCACAATTAATATTTGCTCGATTTTCTTTACTGTTGACTTCCAAAATGTTTTCGGTCAAACTCCACAACCCAGATGATCGCAACATTGCTTCAAAAACATTTTATGAATTGCTAGTAATATAATCTTTAATCAAAAGGTGTTATTGGTGTGTCAAATAGCTATAAATCGATTAGCGTACATGTGTCTTTCGTTCCAGAACCAGCAGGGAAGGATCTCTGTATGAAAAGGTCACGCATGCACATCCTTGATTATTACCAAAAGTACACACAGTGGGTGGTGGAGGAGAAGAGTTTGAATTGTTGTTAACTCTCCTGTATTATATCACATGTTTTTATTTATTTTTCTTTAGGCCTATATGTCATTGTTTTAAACTTTCAAAAGAAATTGCTATATAGAGGAATGAAATACTTTAAAAAAATCCAACAATTAAACACACAACTGGTAATATGCATCCCCCTTTTTACAAGTATTCTGCGAAGAATGTTTTTTATTCGGGGTTGTTCATATACTACAAGTTTAAGATTGTGTGCCTGTCAATTTATCTACATGTATAATATACGTTGTACATATATTCTTGAGAGTCTAGCGGAATTTAAAAAGAATCTTTTTTAAAAAGATTACCAACACGTTACTCCTCCTTTTGTAAAAATTTTATAGTATGTTTCAAGCATCCAAACCACATTGAACTGTTCTCTAATGAATATTAATGAAATGTGCGCAATGAGGATGCGTAGCATATTATGTCGATGTTGTATTCTCACTCGTGCAGTTTTCGTTTTTACGTTTGTTTAATTTCCTCACTATATCGTGTAAATATTTTGTTGATTGTGCAGTTTTTCTATAGTTTGTGTAAATTTCAATAGCTTCGTGTATATTTTCCTCACTTTGTGTAAGTTTTTACTTACTCGTGTAATTTTTGTTTAGGTCGTGCAGAAAATAATTTTGAAGCAATCGGCGTGCCATATGATGGCGGCGGTGGCGAACTGGCCGACAGTTCCCTCATCCGGTTCTCATCATGCAGAAATTCGCCTCCCCCTCCATTATTATGATTTGTTGGTTGTTCCTCTATTACCTCTGTGTAGATAGTATATATTGGTTGCTGATCAGTTATGGAATCGGGTTCTCCTACAACATAATTAAAGAGAAGATTGAATTTGTTGTCATGTTCTAAATTTTGTATTTACTCTCACCCGGTAAATTCAAAATTTAGAACATTACATTGTTATCAAGACAGTTTATTTGCATACAATGTATTTAATATTGAATTAAAGCTTCTAATATTTAAAGTTTACCTTCTTCAAGATGATTCTCGAGAGGTAAACTGAAGGTGTGTCCCGAGGAATAATCCCTGGGCTCCCCCAAAATGGGAGTTTCTCTACTACGACATCTCTCCCTTCTCTCTCGTGATTCGACTATCCCTTCAAAAGGAAAATTGAATTTGTTGTCAAGGCAGTTTATTTGCTCTTTATGAATGGAAGCTTTGTATAACTTACGTTCTCTATTCTGGTTCATGTTAGGTAGATTGACGGTGTGCCCTGAGCGGTATATTATTGGAGTTTCTCTTGTTGGCTGCCTGATAATGGAGTTTTCTGTACTACTCATTCTATTCCTTCTCTCCCTTGCCTCTACTTCCACTGCAAAATGAAAAGTTAATTTATTGTCTGGACCGTTTTTTTTTTTTTTTTGTTGTTTTTTTTTTTTTTTTACATACGAAGTATTTAATTGTTTGATTGAATATTATAACTGACGTTCTCTCATGTTGTTTTCGAGGGACGTCATTTGTGGCTATATAATTACACCCGAGGGAAGCGTTTTAGGAAGGTTTGAGGGCTTGCCTTAAACTACACTATGATGATTGAAAGTGCAGCAATTAAGAAAAATTGCGAAATCGAAGTTAAGAAATACAACTGAAGCTCTCCGTGAAATAAAATTCTGACAGGCATATCAGAGAGCTACATGTCCACCCATTTAAAAAAGTCGATTTTTATAGTTACTGTAACGCTTTTCGTTGCACGCTTAGGGTATTATTTCACGTATTTTAATTTCTCATACTATTATTACTTTATCTATATTTAAGGACATACGCAACGTACCTTACCTACTGATAGTTTTTCAAGATATTCTTAATTTAAGATTATAGTGCCACCAGATGTTCGTAGACAAAAAATCAGCATGCATTACCAGGGGTTTTGAAAAGATATCAATAGATGAAAATTCTTGTATAAATCAAAGAAAAATACACAAAAATTACTAAATATATATTCTAGATGTTTTGTTTATCCAAACTTGTTTTAGAAGAAATGTACAACAGCATATATAGACATTAAAATGTAGCACACATTTCCTTTAAGTATTGGAACTCTTTAACTCCAGGGAAAAGGACAATAAAGGTCAAACTACATTGCATATGTCCTTAAAGGGGCTTGGACACAGATTTTCAACTGTGTTCATTTTTTCTAAAATTTTCAATATAATTTTATGACATATATTACTGAGTATTTTGTACCGAGATATAATAAAAAACATGTTTAGAAACTTCTTTATAAGGAATTCATTAAAACCACTGATTTCGGGACCCGTTTGATTGACATACATATATGTACATCCTTGCACTTTCACGAAGTAAACTTTAAGAAAAGTAAAAATTTTGTTGCATACATGTATTAATAATAAAATATGAAAACTATAATCTAGAAAATCCAGAGTAGAAATGCGAGAAAGCAAAACCAACTCACCAGTATTGCCAGTCCGTGCTCAGTGATGTGTGCAGACTAAACAAATTGAACACAAGCGTGAAAACGTTAACATTAACAATAACAGCTAGAGCTCATGCCCTGTTTTACAAATACTGCTGATCGACGTAGTGTTATAAAGAATGTCGTTGTCATTGAAGTTATTTTTGAATACAAACTGAAATTTTAAATTGTAAACAATGAAACTGTGTCGGAACCATCCATGCCCCTTTAAACCGTTCCAAACGGACCTCCATGACATTAGAATGTCAGTTTCAAAAAATTTATACATCCATTTTGGGATCATGTTTAAAAAAATACACATGCTAGGAAAATACAAATGCTGGAAAAATCTATGTACCTACCCTTTAATTCATCTTACTTTCTTAATTTAAAAAAATTTTTTCTATACATGTACTTTAAAAAATGACATTTGAGCTAAAATATTTCAGGTCTTCCGTTTCCAATTCAAAAATTCTATTCAAATCACGAGTTATCCCCATTTGATTGAAATTTTAGGGGCTTTGGTTTCAAGGCAAAGGTTCCTAGACTATAATAGCTGGAGCGGAAAAACTAGTGGATTTGAAAAAAGAATCATTGTAGTTGTGCACATCGGTTTTTGTTTTGTTTTTTAATTTCTGCATTCAAAATAGCGTGGGGGGGGGGGGGGGGCAAAATTAGGACCCTAAAAGAACAACAATTTAGACATATTTTCTTTTGTATCTCCTAAACTAAAATAACACCGCAGAACATTAACTGGCAAAATTGGAAATATGCAGCTTACGTCATTTCCATCTGTTGCAGACAAAATGTTTCATGATAGACAATGAAATGGGCTGGTACAATTCGACACAGACGTCCTAGAAAACATTGGATTGAAATTCTAGTTTGAAATTCATTTTCAAGTTTGAACGTATGATCCAAAAGACAAATAACTTCAATTCCCAAATACATGTTGTTTGAAATTTCTATTTATATAAGTTTCCTAGCCAATAATTTTAAGGGAAATTTATAATTTGTTCTGTACTTTTATTTTGTTAAGATATGTAAAATGAAAGTTGTGCATAATTTCAAGAGCTTGCAATTGACATCACTTAAAAGGGGTTAATCCCTAAAATGAGGGATCTAGGGCCCTTGAAAGTTTTTGCTTTATAACTCAAAAACGGTAAATATTTCGATATGGCTTTTGCTGGAAAAGTTGTTCTTTAACATCTTATTGATTTCATGAAAATGTTATTTTGTTCGAGTATTGTGCAATATGTGAGTAAAAAGCTGGACCCGTTAAAACAGGTAACCGTTTCCATTCGGCAAGTGAACGAAAACTCGTTTTGCGTATAACCATGGCCGTAGGAATCGGGGGGCACGGGGTGGGGGTGGGGGGCGTGCTCCAATAATATTGCCGATATTTAGATTACTATAGAAAACATAGCTACTATATGCTTGTGCCCCCTCAATAAAAACGTCTGAAGACCCCCCCCCTTTTTTTTTTGCTTGTCAAGGAATTTTTGGTTGATAGTGCCCCCTCAACTAAATATAAATGGCTTTGCCCCCCCCCCCTCCAACTGAAATTGCTTCCTACGGGGCCTGAAAAAAAACTTGCTATATATTATATACCTGATTACATATTCTTCTAAAATGTCTTTTTTCTGTTCTGTGGTTTTCTTACAAATTATTTAGTGATAACTTTCTTTTTTATTTAGTTTTAAAACAAAGTAAATGGAATAGAAACAGAAATGGGTAACTTTTCATTTAATTCTTCGTTTTATAGTAAAATCAACAATTTACAAAAAAATAAAACTTTTAAGCATACAGTAATTCACGCCATCTTACACCAATGTTACAACACACCTTGAAAAATTACGCACTTTGAAAAATGATTCCAAAGTGCTTTAAATTTGGGACCAAGTAAACGCATTTAAAAAAAAAGAATTTCTTTTCAAAATGCGTTAATATCGACCATATTAACACACTTTGAAAAAATATGTGCAAGGTGTAATGTTTACGGAGAGATTATCAGATAAGGTGGCAGATGGAGATCTGACGACAGTTTAGCAGAAAGGTCATTAATTATTTGATTTTATGACAATGAACATTAATGGACTTTCGATTTAAAAGAACTGAAATCCAATGTACTTAGGAATTCCTTATACTTTTAGCTGTATTTAGAATTTTCTAATTTTTTTTTCAAACCTAAGGGTACGAGAAACCGACAAAATGGGGTCCAAGTTTTTATGCTCATTGACTTTTTATAGATATTTAAGTACATTTAGAAGTATGAAAAAATTGTTATTCCCGCACAATATGAGGATCTTTTTTTTTTTTTTTTTTTTTTTTTTTTTTTACAGTTATTTGATTAGTATTAAGAAGTATGAAAAAATCATTTATGCATTTTGAACAAGTTATTTATTTATTTCAATCAAAAGTTTTTAGCAATGTTAAATTTTTTGAAAATTAGGTCAAACAATGTCGTGGAATTAAAAATCATAGTACACTTGGAAATACTTGTCACAGGTAATGCATGTGTCAGATATGAATGCCTTATCTTCGCTCCTTCAAAAGTTAGCAACACTGATGAAATGTTTAAGGGTCAATCTTAAAGGTCAAGGTCATGGGGTAAAATAACATAGCACATCCGAAAAAAAAATTGACACAGGTAATGCACTTGTCAAATATGAAAAAGTTAAAATTGTTGAAAATTAAGGTCAATGTCAAGCGGTCAAAAATCAAAGCACGCTCGGTAACACCTTCTCACTGATAATACACATATCAAGTATGAAAGCCCTATCTCTTCTCAATCAAAAGTTATAAGCAAAGATAACATTTTTGAAAAGTAGGTCAAACGTCGAGGTCAAGGTCACTGGGTCAAAAGTCGTAATATATTTGGAAAGGTCTTGTCACAAGTAATACTCTTGTATAATAATATGAAAGCCCAATCTTTTCTCATTCAAAAGTTACTACCAATTTAAAGTAATTTTAAAATTTTTGAAAAGTAGCTCAAACTTCCAGGTGTAGGTCACGGGGTCAAAATCATAGTAAATTTGGAAAGGTCTTGTCACAGGTAATATGCATGTGAAATATGAAAGCCCTATCTTTTCTCATTCAAAAGTTATGAACAAGGTTAAAATTTTTATGACAGACAGACTGACAGCTAGACAGACTGACAGATGGATAGACTGACAGACATACGAATGAGATTTAATGTCCCCTCGCTTTTGCAAAAGAGTTTGCCTAAGGATATCTACCTATCTTCTCGGTCCCGATGAGGGTAGATCTAGACAAATTCATTACTTTTTCGAAAGAAATATAACAAAATAATGCCGTCTGTCCCTACAAGTTTGTTCAGGCTATAACAATGTTATGGTGAAACTGATAGCTCATTCTTTGAACAAAGATTGCTAATCATCCGAGGGTGTGTCATGGTTTTGACCCAAGGTCAGTCCGGCAAGTTCAAGGTCACTAGAAAGAGTATAATTTTTTTGTAATAGAGAATCACTGGAAGCCCATACTTGATACAGGGATTGTAAATGACCAAAGAATTTACTACGACCTTGATCAAAAGTCATTCCTGATAGTTCAATGTCACTTGCAGAAAAAGTATGAGATTCTTGTATTGGCTATTATAACTTTGATTTTGTAATGGATAATGACGGAAAGCTCAAACTTATATAGTACAGAACAAGGTCATTCTAGAAAGTTTAGGACACTGTCAGAAAAGTGTAAAATTACTATCTGTGCTATATCTTTAGAAGCTCATACTTGGTACAAAGATTGCTTCTGATCCACCAATTTGAGATGACTTTGAATTAAGGTCAGAGTCACTGGCAGAAAAAGTTGTAAAATTCCTGTTTTGTCTATAAATTTGTGTGTGTGTGTGGGGGGGGGGGGGGTCACTGGAGGCTCTT